GTCCAGATGGAGCATTTGACTGAAAAGGGTTTACAATAAAGCCTTTGCCTGCTTTGCCTCTGTGGCATTAAAATGTGACTCAGCGTTTCTTTTCTGTGTCCTGACAGCGCTGGTCCTAAAGGAGACAACATCTATGAGTGGAGGTCGACCATCCTGGGCCCTCCAGGATCCGTGTATGAGGGGGGCGTGTTCTTCCTGGACATCGCCTTCACACCAGACTACCCCTTCAAACCACCAAAGGTACAACTAATTCTGAATACTTGCTATTCAACAAAACCTTCTCTACAAAGACTTGCAAAGAAATCCTGCACTGATGGCTTTATTTTAGAGCTGTCATTCTCATGTGTTCCACCAGAGGGCACCGTTGGCCTGTGGAAAGCAGCTTGTTTCCCTGCCCACACAAACATGTGGGATTTATGGAGGAGCTGCTTTCACAACATGTAGAAATTCACTGTGGCCTCATGTCCCTAATATACCGCTGAATATGTGACATGAGGGCTTTTTAAAATCATTTGCCAACACTTGCCCTCATTTCAGCATTCGGTGTGTTTTCGGTGAGGGCCACATTCTCCTTTGTGATTTTTTCAGATTAAACAAGGATGTTAATTTCTAATTCATGAAACTGAAAATGCTGCTCAATCAGTTAGATGTTAAAACTGAAACTTATATATGAAGGAGTAAAAGTGTTTTGTTTTTTCATTGAGATTTTTCAGTGGAGTTAGACACATATAGCAGAGGATAAAATGTGTTAAATGTGTGGGTTCTGGGCTTCTGTTCTCCGTTCTGCGTGTCAAGGTGACGTTCCGTACGAGGATCTACCACTGCAACATCAACAGTCAGGGCGTGATCTGCCTGGACATCCTGAAGGACAACTGGAGTCCTGCTCTGACCATTTCCAAGGTCCTCCTGTCCATCTGCTCCCTGCTCACCGACTGCAACCCTGGTGAGAGCTGCAACACACACACACACACACACACACACACACACACACACACACACACACACACACACACACACACACAAGCCTGATTAGACCCACTGACTCCACACCAGCTCCTGTGATATTTAACCCTCTAAACCACAAACTGGTTCTGGGTGCTTTTTTGCTGCTGTCACATTTTTTCCTCACTGTGACTCATTTTTCACTGCAACATAAAGTCCTGCACCTCTGCTGAGATAACACAACCACGGCTGGAAGTAGAGCTGCTACACATCAAGTTGTATTTCCTCGATTATTTATTTTACATAAATGTAAAGTAACTGGAATCAACATGTGCAATATTTTCCAAGTGCCTACAGGTGTTACTAAAACTGGAACAAGTGGTGACTCTGTGCAGTACAGATATTTTCCTACTAACATTTTAAATGTGTTTCCACACTTTTCTCCTGTTTGCTCTTTAAAGCCTGTAGTTCTGCCCAAAGGTCTTTGAAAATCTGATATTTCTTTCAGTTTCTACAGTTTTTGACTTTTTTTTTCCCAGCATACCTTTCCAACCTGCCGGGAGATGTGTGGGTTCAGAGGGTTATAGATATATTTTTGGCAGTGTTGATAATTTAGCGATTTTCTTCGACCCTTTTAGAGCCTAGCTCTATTTCTGAAGGAGGATTGCTTTCCTCAGTCACAGTGCTTTGATGTGGAAGCATCAGCAGCCAGACAGACGTGTGAACAGTGGATGACCTGCAGAGGCCTCGCAGCTGCAGTGTTTGGATTCTCCCACAGGAGAAATTAATGCCACATTTAGATTGTCATTGATAAAATGCAGCTAATCACAGCTAATGTGCAATGTTTTTTTTTCTTATGTAAGTAAGCTAGGTACGGTATCATGTGATAAATGATGATGTCATCCAGAGACTTTTTGAGCAGGTTTAGCTCATCTCTGTTGAAGTTCGCTGACAGCGTCCAGCGTTCAGCTTGCTTGAGGATCAGGATTAAGTAAACATTTAGATTCTTTTATAATTCAGATCTGCTGCAGTATTTTGGTTCAGTACAAGTCAGCAGGATTCTGAGGTTTGTGAGGGAACTGTGGTAACATGTAGTTAATAGCACATGTGATCCTTTAATTTAAGTTTCTGTTTCCCTTCATCATCTTTCAACATGAATCACTTTGTAAATTTACACAGATACTGTCCAGTTAGTTGTATTTGATTAGAAATCAGAGGCTGCTGTGGGGTAGGACCATCCAGGATACACAGCATGAGATATAAAACAGTATGAAACCAGTGAGAAGGTTATGGTTGGGTTATGGCAAGACTAGGTTTTTTAAATTATTGTACAAGTACCTTTGTAAGGTAATCTCACCGGACTAGACACGTGCAGACACTCATGTGTGGTTATGTTGTTTTTAAAAAAGATTTCTCTGTTGATATTTGATAAAGAAAATTGATATGAAACCTAAACCTGCATTTGATCCATGTGTCGCCTCGCTGATGCTGAGCTGCAGCAGCAGAGAGTAATGACAGAGAAGAGAAAACACACAAAATGAAATTAGTGTAATTGTAACAGTAGATTTTTATCAGTATTAGTTGAGGAAGATAAAATCTAGTGTGTCGAGTGCAGAGGTTAGAATAAAACTAGAAGATGGAAAAAAACACATGGAATGTAAACAACAGCTACAGCTGATCATAGATGTAATGATTATTAAAGGTTATTGAAGAAAATATGTCCTAAAACCATAGAAAAAAAAGGTTTGTCATTATAACAAGACATATAGGAACATGTCGTGGTTTCTGCTGCTTACAAAGAAAAAAATGTTCCTTTGGTAAAAGTGTGTGAGTATATGCAGTAAATTAAAAGTCCAGTGTGAGGGTCACATGTTCTGTCATTACAATTGTTAGTTATATTATTGTGTAAACGTTCATTTTAAAGCTGTAGCTGGAGTTTGACCTCATTTTGAACTGCACGTAATGATTAATTTGACAACATTATTATTAATAAGCATTAAACTGCTGATTATTTCATTAACAAATCAATGATCTTGCTTCCAAATAATAAGAAATGCCGTCAGAATTACCCGGAGCCCAAAGTGACACCTACCTTCACAACGTCTGCTTTCTCCCACCAGCAGTCCAAATCCTAAATCAATCTCCCTAGAGAACCAGTATAACTTTGCAATGTGAAGTCTACGAAAAAAGACAGAACTCACGAATTGGGCCAGCGGAGGAAACACTAATGAGCATGTGCAGTGCGCAAAACTGGAAACTTGAAATGATTTTGGCTCGTGCACGGACAGCATCGAGTCCAGACTATGAGATACAGATCCAGAATGACTGATCTCCTGTTTTGTGTGTTGACAGCTGACCCTCTGGTCGGAAGCATCGCCACACAGTACACAACAAACAGACCTGAACACGACAGGATAGCCAAACAGTGGACCAAACGCTACGCCACATAATCACCTGAGCCGCTGGTTGGACGACCTGGGGAATGTGGGGGTGGGGGAGGGGTGGTGTCAACTGGGGTGAGGGGATGAAGGGGGAGGTGGGGCAGGTGGGGCAGGTAGAGGGGCGGGTGGATTTTTATCTTGGAATTGAAGTCTTAACTCCTTACATTTTGTTGTTTATTGTATTTTATTTTTTTTTTTAAGTTATCTCCAGCCCGACTATAATCAGATCTGGCAATAACGCATTTAGTGTTTTCTCTTTGAAGTTTTAGCCTGTGCTTGAAGATGGACATTAATACTAAACCGCTAGATGAAATGTGTCACAGCATGATTCCCAGTCGATGATGTCAGTGTAAATTCTCACGTATTAAAAGTTCCAGTTGGTGTTTGCTTCCCCCTCCAAACTCCTGCTCTTTGACAAAGGTGTTTCACACATGTAGACATGTTTAGATATGGATGGATATTGGTTGTGATTTGTGTTCTGTACCGATGAAAAGCTGTTCTGTTTCTCCCTTAAAGAATTAAACATGACCAACTGAAGCGCTCCACGGTGTTCAATCATTTCAGAGTCTTTAATATGAAGAGGCTACATTTTATTCAGTGCATCGTACGACGGCTACAGAGCAGAGAATAATTTACGGGTAGCATAATTACCTCGCTACCTCTGTTCTACTAGCAGCACATTTAAGGTTATTACTCTTGAAACATTTACGACACAGAAAACAGCGCGGATCATCCTTCACCCTGTCACCATTTTCACAAGTCAAGGAATGTGGCTCATTAAAGTGACAAAAATAAATTAGTTAAAAAATAAATATTTCCTCTCAACACATTTCTACTGTTAGAAAGGCTGACACAAACACAGCTTTAACTAGCAGTCCTACTGAATTATACAGGCTGGACGACACACAGGAGTGCAACTAACGCCACACAGACATTATGAAATCATACATCACAAGTGAAGGCAGTACCATGAATGTTATTGCTGCCAGGCCATACTTGATATATGAGATGGACTGGACGAAGGCTGGAGGACAAACGGTTGCTCCGCTCATGTCAGATGGGAAATAACAGCACAGGTTGAAGCTTCAGATTCCTGAAATCTGTAACCAATAAATCCTGAAATGTAAACCGATGCAGGACAGTATAGTATTAAAGTAAGACTGAGCTTGGAAAAAATGAAACCTTAACTTTTTGGAATGATAGATTTTAAGAGGATGCAATCGTGGACATTAACTGTAAATCAAGAAGATGTGTGTTTGGGTTTTCTCAGATCTTTGGTGCTACATGTTTGTCACTGCTACATTTTCACAGATGCTTTTTTCCATGCAAAACGATGAATCCCAAACAGATCTTTTCACATGACTCTGCAGAGGTTTGGAGTTCTGATCTGTAGCAGACACTGCATTGTAAATAAAGATTAGCTCATGAACGCATCCCAATTTTTCTCAGATGTGAATTTTTGGAAGAAAAAAAAAGGATCACTGTCCCAGAGTGAGAAGAGACGATCAATATGTTGATGTCATGCTTGTGTGTTATGTGCAGATCTTGTGGCAGTACTTCATTAGCCTATATTAGCATAAAGACTTGAAGCAGTGGGGAACAGAACAAAGTTCTGAGTTTGCCCAACAGCACCTCTACAATTTACTACTGTCATGTCTGGTATCACATATCGAACTCTCACAAAGTAAGAAAGCTAAAGTGTTTGCCAAAATATTGAACCAGTCCACAAGATTTATGGTAGGACTGAATATAAGTGAAGGAATGTGTGTAAAATGGTCACATGTACATCGATGCAACAAAAACCGTGTTCTCAAAATGAAGTCCATGTAGTCCAGCTGGTTGTTCCCACGTGAGGTGAATGCAGCTCATTGTTACCAGGAGCAGGAAGGAGTGGATGTGGAGTGGAGCTTCAGATGTCGTTGGATGTGGTGCCTTTGTTTTTGCGTCCAGGCAGAGGGAAGGCAGACTTGCTCTGAGGCTGTGTCAGGCGGCTGGTCAGCTGGGTGAAGGGTTCGATTAGAGAGTTGCGTTCAGTGACGCTCACCTCCCACAGCTTCACCTTTTCACCACGAGCCCACTGCTGCGCTGCATCCTGGTCCACCTGCCGACGCTCCCGCAGGTCGGTTTTATTCCCGAGCACTATGACCGTCACCTGTGAACACGGACACAGCAGAACACAGAATTATGCTCAGTCCTGCATGTAGAAGACAAGGTAAAACATTAATATTGGGAATAAACATTGCCTTGCTTTTCAACCAGTCTGTCCTTGTTGTTGGCTGAAAGTCCTGTATTTAGTACTGATGAAACTCATATTTCCATATAAATTGCACAAATTCCAGTTTTTTTTTTTTTTCAGGAATAAAGAACAGTCCAAGTTCTTCGCCTCATACATCATTTTAAAAGTGAGTGGATAATGTCAAAAATTTTTGGAATTCAAGAACATTCATACATTTAACCAGTATGGCTATCACAAGATCATGCGTCATATTTTTCTTTTTTTTTATTATGTAATTCCATATGTGTTATATTATAGTTTGATTTCTAATTTTGCTTTACACTGCAGAAAATGACAGAAATAAAGAACAAAACTGAATGAGAATGTATTTCAGTATTGGTGTGGATTTGGTATCAGCTGACACGTGAAGCTGAAAGCTGATGTGCAGACCGATGATGTTGGATGTGCAGGGCCTCTTTTCAGGATGATATGTTGCTGCTAGATGTGAAATGCTATATTGGAGGCTTCTTTTAAGTCAAGCTTTACTCAAAGTATGAACTGCAGGACTACAGTGAGATGCATTTTTGTACTGGTGTAAGACATCTGCATAAATCTAGTGTCTGAGGGGGACACTGAGCTCCAGCAAACATGCAGCATGTTATTATTACTACAGTCAGGGGGACTCCTGTTCTCTTTTCTGAAGATGACTGTATAGTTGTGCAGTTAGAAGTAAACAACTAAAGCATAGTGGCTGTTATAAATGTTTTATAAAGTGTTTGCCAATATAATAAGACAGCTGTGCAAACTTCTCTGCAAGGTTTCCTGAAGCAAACATACCAGCCTCACCTCTTTTTTATCTCTGGACTTGTCTATTTCCTTCTTCAGAAGGTCCACCCTTTTGAAAGACTCCATGCTGTCCACACTGTAAACCAGGACGAAGCCGTCGGCCACTGAGTAGTAGTGCTTGGGGAGGTCTTGTCCATCATGAAGTCCTTTGGTGTCGTAGAGCCTCAGCTGTTCCTTCACACCTCGGTCCGTTTCCACTGAGGCCACATACACGTCCTCCTGCGTCTCACTGGACTCTGAGCCTGGAAAGTACAGAAAATAGGCGTTCAGCCAACCAGGAACATGGCAGTAAAACAAGATAAGGGCAGGATTGTTACCTGATATCATGTGACCAGTATCATAAAGTAAGAACATTTCCCATTCAATTAATCTCAGACCAGAAGAAACAAGCTTTGTTTTGAAAAGGAAGAGCTTTACAATTTCTCACCCTGACATAAAACACAGTTATGAAGCTGGACTCCTTGTAATCCTACAGTTCTTACCTACGGTGTGATTTCCGTACAGCAGCTGCTCCAGAATGGCAGTTTTTCCAACTGCAGCCTGGCCACACACCACAACTTTACAACCTTTTCCCATGTCTATCCTGTAATGCATGAAGGCAAAATGTCACACTGCTTACAGTCTCACCCAGAACATGTTAATCAGGCTTTACTGGCAGTAACACAGACAAGAGTTTCAAAGCTACCAGTCCTGACCGCTAGCTCGCTATGACAGCGTTTTGTTATTTAGCCTCTATCGCTAGCAAGCTAACAGCTTAGCAGCGATAACTCATTCTGCAGCATGTAAACACGCTAGTACCAGCCAGTAACACACTTTGTTAGGCAACCGTTCATTTTAAGAAGCTGACTCACTTGAAAAACCAGCCGTCTGTCAAGTGTGTAAATGCAGAATCACAGCCGGAGCATCCATTCTGGTCCGCTGCGCCAAGACGGGACTTATCTTCTCACAGCGCATGCGCGATTCCTGGAGCTCCTAAGTACCGAAACCATACCCTCATGAGAACCAAAGCAAAAAGTGTCTCACGTTTTCTGTTTTTGTGTGATTTCCTGTCTATTTGGGCCTAAAAGAAAGAAAGAAAGAAAAAGAAACACCTTACAATTTAGCTGCAAGGTGGAGCAGTTGGTAGAACTGTTGCCTCGCAGCAAGAAGGTCGCCAGTTCGCGAATCTTTCTGCGTGGAGTCTCCATGTTCTCCCCGTGCAGCGTGGGTTCTCTCCGGGTTCTCCGGCTTCCTCCCACAGTCCAGAAACATGCTGAGGTTAATTGGTGATTGTAAATTGTCCGTAGGTGTGAATGTGAGTGTGCTTGGTTGTCTGTCTCTAAGTGTAGCCCTGTGATAGACTGGTTACCTGTCCAGGTGAACCTGCCTTCACCCTGAGTCAGCTGGGATAGACTCCAGCCCCCCCGCGACCCTCGTGAGTGATTAAGTGGTGTGTAGATAATGGATGGATATTTTTAAATTTAATTTCATGCATGTACACCGTAGAGGACAACAGGATGCTATCTATGTAAAGATGGAACTGAATTTAGAAAATGACAAAAAGGGGCAAATTATATCTGTAGAGTGACATCACCCAGGAACAAATTCAACTTTTAAAAAAAAAAATCAATCCTTTATCACTCTTCTGTTACTTGTTGCTTGCAAGGACAAAATGTCTGTAATAATACATTACAATGTAAAACATGTATTCAGTTCAACATTGAACATCTGGATATTTTAGCTGTGATCATCCTGGAAGCACGTTTTGGTTGTGCAGAGGAACATCTTGCATTTGCTGCACCTGATGTATGTCTTGCCATTGCAGCCCTTCTTCCTGCATCTGTCTGCATGTTTGACATCCATCATCTCTGGCATGTGCCTGCTCCTAGTCTGAGTACAGATGTCTCTGTCTGTGGGATCCTTGTTTTGGTTGGTGCCTGATACTCTTCCTCACTGTCTTCACTGCTGTCATCAAATGAAAGACTCTTATCTTATCTGTAGTTTTTTTTTTTAGCCCAAAACATTTTGACTCTGGGATAGCCAAGGCAGGCCATGTGTACTGAAATGCCAAAGAAAATCTTGATTTCTTGGGCAGTAGTATTCAGTGACACTCCTGTTGTTTGCAGCTGTCTTTGATTTGTAAAAACTGCCAGATCCTCAAAGTTTTGCCATCGATGTACTGTGAAAGGTGCTGGATTGGGCTGCAGTATTCATGGATTTTAGGGTAATCTTGATAGACAGGAAGCCCAGGTAGCACAGGTGTCAATCTGTTATGATGGATGGAGAAAAACACAAATAAATTCAAGTTATTAAAAGGAGTAACATTTCATCTTTTTCATATCAATTTGGATTAATGCGGTTATTTCAGTGTCAGTGCATAAAAGACATAAATGAATGGGCCGGGTCTCAGGAGGATATACGTTTAACCGTATGACTACTACTACCACCACCATGACTAACAATAATAAAAATAATAATAACAATAATAATAATAATGATAATAATAATAATAATAATAATAATTCTATTTTTAAAGAGTCTGTAGAAATTCTATGCTAAAATATTTTACAACTGTTATGACCTAATATTTATGCACTGTACACATATTATTTCTTTCTACTGTTATTATTGGTTTTGTATTGGTAATTGTGATAAAAGTGGACCCCCCCATATTTTTGCTCCTGAGCCATGAATTTACTACCTCTATGTTTCATTATTATTATTATTATTATTATTATTATTATTATTATTATTATTATTACTTTATTTATTATCTTCTGTATCATTTTTTAAAAAAGAAGCAATAAATGCATTTAATATTTTTGTATTGAGTTTTTGTTCTTGCAGTCAAATCAATACACTTATAAATGAATGGCGTTGCTGTTGTCAGTATGGCAGTAATTTGCTACATTTTTAATAATATACAATTAAAGTGTTCCTTACAAATATTTCGACTGAACTTCTTTTGTCTATAGATACAGAGTGGCTATACTGTGTTAATATGTCGCCTTGTAATTAATTAATTAATTTGAAACAGAATAGTAGGTGAATGTTTGGCTGTCGGTATTACTACAAAAGTATCAGAAGTCCTAGAAAACTGAAAAGAAAAGAAAAGAAAAGAAAAGAAAAGAAAAGAAAAGAAAAGAAAAGAAAAGAAAAGAAAAGAAAAGAAGACTACATTTCCCATGAGCGCAGCAAAGGAAATGCGTCACCGTGGTTCTCATAAGGCATGCTGGGAACTAGCCCTCTCTCTTTCCGGCTGGTACGCCATCATGTAAGCGAGAATTTCTATGTATTTGAGGAGAACGCAATCCATTAAAATCATCATTTTTATACGTTCATCTGTCTGTTAGATTCAGGGCACAGATACGCAACTTGTTAACGATGTATACGCCTTGACTATTTTTGTGACAAACAGAGAAAATCACTTTTAATAGCCCTGTTGTAGTGTTGCTTGAATACCATCGGTTTGGTGACCATTGGCTGTGCGGCTAGCTGTTAAAAGCTAATTTGTAGTTGGCATGTATTATTTACATTTCGGTTACACGAGCAGACCTTTCGTGATTGTAATCTTTTTAAACCGACACATGCAAAGTCATTATTCCTGATGTAATGGTCTCAATATTCCGTAAAAGAGAGCAGTGTGTAGCTAGGCGGTTAGCATTAGCATGCTAGCTTCATTTCCAGTCGGCTCCCTGTTCAGCATGGACTACAGGAACACTTTGTGTTGATTAACTTCTGTTCTCACTTCTGCTGCCTCATCATGCGCTACATGTGTATTCATGAAAGTTTAGAGATTCCCGAGAATGATATCATTGCTGTATGGAAACCGTTTAATGGCTTCAATACGCTAAATGTATGAGTCTAGGCGGTCGTAAACCATGTGCTGTTATGACTTGACTGTTACAGGGTTTTATTTGACTGATTTAACAAGCTGCAAAATCACATTTGAACTGAGCTAGTTGGCAACAAATCAATAATACTTTGTCGGTTCACTGATAGACAAAAACTCTCCTGAATACTTTATGTAAACAGGGCTGCTCAGCTGGACTGAAATGGTTTATTTCTGTACGAACAACACATGCTGGGTGCATCATGACAGTATTAGTCCTGTACTAATGTGTTATTTGCAGTGTAATTTCAGATATAAGACTAGATGTGTGAGATGTGTTAACTGATGCCTCTCTTTCACAGATAAGTCAACATGGGAGCATATAGGTATATGCAGGAGTTATGGCGCAAGAAGCAGTCCGATGTGATGCGCTTCCTGCTCCGTGTGCGTTGCTGGCAGTACCGTCAGCTGTCCAACCTCCATCGTGCTCCTAGACCTACCAGGCCTGATAAGGCTCGCAGGCTGGGCTACAAAGCCAAGCAGGGTGAGTACTGAGCCCAGTTTCTTCACATGCACTTCGTCATTGTCTGTATCAGCCTTGCTCAGTATGTTTTTGTTGCGTTCATAAAACAGGCTACGTGATCTACCGTGTCCGTGTTCGCCGTGGAGGCCGTAAGCGCCCTGTGCCCAAGGGTGCTACCTATGGCAAGCCAGTGCACCATGGTGTCAACCAGATCAAGTTTGCCCGCAGTTTGCAGTCCACTGCTGAGGTATGTTCATCTTCCCTACTTAGACTGTAGCTTTGACACACACCCAACAGGAAATTGTTTGCTTCAGATGCATTTTGGATGTTGAATGTACATTATACTGCACTTGAATTGGATTTATACTCAATACTCTTCTGATTGCATTGTAAATGCAGACATGACAGAGAATATGAAAGAATTCATTGCTTTGAAGCTACACAGTCATGTATTTGCCACAATTATTCATTTTCAAAGTTATGGGATATATTAAAAGTTTGTTGATACAGATTCAAATACATTCTGTCTTAAATTACTAAAACCTTTCAGCAGCATGTAGGTAGTTCATGCGGCATACAAATTCAAGGGGTGTGCACTCACATTTGGGACAAGCAGGAGGTAGAACCTCAATAAATGTCTCCACCCCATATATTTTAAATGTACAGCATTACAAGGAAGAAAAAAGCAGTCAGTTGAGTGGAAGCTATTAGGTTTGGTTTTTTTGGCTTAAAGTAGATGAAACAACTTAACTTTGCTCGTCACTTTTCTGTCAGTCAACTGATTGTCTCCACTCTTTCTCTACAATGGCAGACTTACTCTGATTATACAGCATATGAAGCTGAGTTGGAAATGTGTAACACATCTGATCAGAACTTACTGAGCACATAAAGCGATCCATAGAGCTCTGAAAACAGTATATGGCTACATTGGCAGAATACTGTCTATTTTGTTTGCGGTATAAGCAAGTCAGGTGCAGTGTTTCAGAGGCAGTGTCTTTGTGCAGGTTAATATACCGTGTTAATACATGTTGTGTAAACTGGGCACATTAAGCGGCTCAATCAGTTGTTGCTGTTGGCACAACATAGCTACATGTCTAGAAAGGGGCTCTACGGACTACAGCATAGATTCAACACAGAAGTATAAATTAAAAACAATGCTTTTGTTTCTACACGTCTGTAGTGAAAAGTTTTCTCTGTAGCACAACTGACCCAGTAAGGAATTGTGTCCTCGTGGACACTCACCAGCACAGTGTAACTTGTGCTCATGACTGCGTTGTGTTGCTTACTGTTGGATTTGTCATTCCTGAAAACTGTACAAAAGTGTTGTGATTATATTCATACAACTGCAGTGGTCCACTGTCAGAACATTCCTCCTAACGTGGTGCAGAATCTGTAAGTTTTGTAATTGGTGTCAGTTTACCTGTGATGCTGTATTTAACAGCAGATGAAAGTCTTTACACTGAATTCAGATGAATTCGATGTAGCCCACTGACATGTAATTGATCCAGTAACAAAACTGGATCTGAACCAATGAAACACCCCAGCAACAAAAGCAGGGAACACATTTGTCGTTTAACATGGTGGTTGTTAGAAAGA